CGACGCGGGGCAGCGCTGCGGCGCAAGGGGCGGGGCGCGCGGTGACGTACGGGTCAGCTGCGGAGCCAGCGCAGGGCGCCACCGCCTCCCGTTCCTCCTTGTCCCCTTTTCCTCCCGACCACGCGGTGGTGCTGTGGCGCGGTGGCACCGGCTCGTGCCGCTCCTCCTCCCCCACCCCCAGCTCGCGCGCCGCCTGCCGGCTCCTTCCGGCGGAAGTGCCCCGCGATGACGGGTCCCGACAGGCAGGGAGCGTGAGGAGGGCTGCGGGCGAGGGCGGAGTCGGCCCGGGCGGGCAGCGGGGAGGCAGGCAGGCAGGCAGGCCGGCCGGCGGCGCGGCAGTCCCCCCCCACACCCCATCTCGGTCGCCGCCACCGCCCTCGGCCCCGCCCGTACGCCCCTGGGAGCGGCTGTGCGCGCCGCAGAGGGGGCGGGGCGGCGCGCGCGCGCGTAGCAGGAGTTGGTGGCCGACGGGCGCGGCCCCGTCGCCGCGTCTCTCCCCCGGGCACGTGCGCGCGCCCGCGCCGTCCCAGCTCGCGCCCCTCCTGAGGGCGGGGCCTGCGTGGCGGGGCGGGGCTCGGCGCCGGGGCGGGGCCAGGGCCCGGCCCGGCGGGTCCAGCACGAGCCCCCTCGGCCGCCGCCGCCGCCGCCATCGCCATCATGGAGGACAAGGTGTTCTCGAAGGAGCTGGACCAGTGGGTGGAGCAGCTGAACGAGTGCAAGCAGTTGAACGAGAACCAAGTGCGCACGCTCTGCGAGAAGGTGCGGCCCGGGGCGGCGGGGGAAACCGAGGCACGCTGGCCCCTCCCCCCCGCGGGCCGACGGCGCGCTCCCTGCGGGTGGGGGCGGCGGTCGCCCCCTCCCCCGCCGCCTGCCTCGGTTTCCTCCCCTGTCTAGTGGGGGTCCGGCCGGCCCCTCCCTCCGGGGCCCGCCACCTCGGTCACTCTGTCCTCTTATTTTTATCTCGGCCCGGCCCCGCTCGTTGACTCACGAATGCTTGTCGATTGACTAAAGAGCCATTTGCGGCCGCCGCCCCTCCCCCCGCGCGGGCGGTGACCCCTGACGGCCGAGGGCGGGGCCGGGCGCCTCCGCCGGGGGTCCCCGGGAGCCCGGCGCCGGCCAGGAAGCGTCCTGGCACCGGAGAAGGGCCGGAGGAGTTTGGTGGGGGGCGGGGGGATGCCCGGCTGGCCCCGCCCCTCCCCCTCCCCCTCCCCCGGCCTCGGCCTCCAGCCCCCAGCGGCGATCGCGCTGTCGGAGGGCTCCGGCCGCTGCGGGCTCTGTTGGGCGGTAGAGCCAAGCAGAGTCTGAGGCCCTGCGATGCCCCCCAGGACCAGCTTGTGCGGGTGGGGGGGGGCTCTCGGCCCCCCGAAGGTGTCCGGGCGGAGGCCGGGTCCCGTACCGAGCGGTGGGCCGAGGCAAGCTTCCCAGAGGGGCTCCTGGCCACGAAATGAGAGGCTGGGCTGGGGGGGGGGTGGTCTTAGGCTGGAAGGGTCGGTGGGGGCTGCCGAGAACGCTCTCCCTCGTCCGTTCTCTCTGGCTTCCTAGAAAACCCAGCTCCAGGCCGTGGTCCCCTTGGAGAACAAAGGACGAACTCCAGGAAAACCCAAATAAAACCCTACCTCCTACAGGAAGCCTTCCCTAACCCCTCTTTATTCCAGTGCTTTCAGTCTGCTAATTATTTCCCATTTTCCCCGTATGCAGCTTCCTTTGCAGATACTTGCTGCGTGTTGTCTCCCCCGTTAGATTGTAAGCTTCTTGAGGGTGGACTGTCTTCTCTTTTTGTGTCCCCAAGGCTTAGCGCAGGACCTGGCATCTAGTAGGCACTTGATACCCGTTTGCTGAATGAATAAAGGATCTGGAGTGCTGGGATCAGGTGTTCATACTTGGGGCACCTCTGAAGGCGTTGGTTAGCGTGGGGACGTGGTTGGAGAGCCACTGGAGGAAGGCTCCTCTTGCAGCCATATGCACACCTGGTGTCTCTGGAGATGAGCCCCGACGGGGGGGGATGACCCAGAGGATCCCTGATCCTGGGTGAGGGGAGGGGCAGGTTTGGGGAGGATGAGTTTGACGTGTTGATGACAGGTCCAGCCTGGCTCCTGGTAGCAAACTTTCTGAAAGAAACAAAGAAAGAAAATGATGTTTTTGCAGCTTGATTAGTGGCCAGAGAGGCTGCCCAGGAATCGGGACGCGGCTCATCTTTGGCTCCCATTGCCTCGGAGATCTTTCCTGGGCCTTCCTCGAGCTCAGGCGACTCTGTCTGTTAGCAGCAGGAGCTCACCTGCACTGTCAGAGGGAGTTTCCTCCCTGTACCGATGAAATGCCAAGTCTCCTTCTACTGCCACACAGATTTAATTGTCAGTCTCTGATAATATGTGTTGGGGGAGGGTGGGACCTTTAATTTCAATGGGAGAGAAAACTCCAGGCGGGGAAAGTGAGTGCTGGACCTCTGATTCCAGACTCCATTGTTTTGCCCAGGGGGAGTCATAGCTCTTAGAAAAGGACGGTTGTAATGGTGGACTAGCAGGCATCCTTTTCAGCTTAGTGCTTTCTTTGTTGGCAACTTTGATTACTGTGTCCTATTGACGAACCCATTCGAAGGAAGTTTACTGAAAGGCAGCTGTACCTGTAATAGATCAGTGGGTTGGGACAGAGTCAAATTCTATATTGCTGGCTTAGTCAGACCTCACCTGAAATTCAAGGAACGATTTATAATGTGACCAACTCAGACAGCCCATCTCACACCGCTTCACATTTTTTCCCCTAATTAGATTTAGCCTAGCATTTTAGCCGATTTGAGGTCTTATTGTATCCTGACTGTTATTAAGGTATGATGTTAGCTCTCCCAGCCTTGTATCATATGTAGATTTGATAATCTTTCCTTCTGTCTCTTATTCACATCAGTGATGTTAAATGTTTGGAGGGTTTTTTTGTTTTTTGGGGTTTTTTTTGCATTGAACCATATTTTAACAATCTCAAAATTCTGTGACCAATTTTTGTTTAAGTTGTTTCCATTTGAAATTACTGATATAAAAACTAAGACTGTTATGTAACAATTTGTCCACGAAAGATTTCTTCCTAAAGCTTTTACAGCTTATTATAATAATTAGCCAGTCTTTTACCCTTAAATGTAAATGGTCAGTTGAGACAAACAGCTCTGAAACCATTCTCCAGACACTGATCGAGTGGGGAGGCCAGCAGTGCACAGAGTTGAGCTTTTGGGGCAGATTGTGTGACCTTGGCCCCTCTGGTAGCCTTCTAGTTCTCTTCCTTGATGATGCCAGCTGCAGGCGGGCTCTATCTCATACCAGAAACAGCACAACTACCCCGAGGAGGATAATTTGAGAAGCTCTCTGCTCCCACGGCTTGCCTGGGACCATGCCAATGGTGGCAGCGTCACTGGGTCTCAGGAGGTTAGGGCCGGGCCATCTTCCAGCTTCTCACCAGAACGAAAGTCAGTCTGTCCTTCAGGCCAGCAAAGCTAGGAGCATTGAGGCCATCCTGAACAGGTGTGCAGCCAGCCCTGATTGGCCTGGGTGGTTTGGGATGATGTCCTGGGGGTGTAACTGGAGGCAGCTCATCCATTGGCGGGTCATTCATTATCCCTGTCACCAGCCACATTACCATGGAGGATGATCTGACACCTCTAATTTGATAGAATTGATATTACTTTGAGGCCTGCTTACTCTGAACTTGTAGTGCATTTCCACAGACTTTCTTCAGCTGTGACAGGGCCTGGAGCAGATGTCCTCTTCCTTCCCACCCACACCATCTGGGTTTAGAACTTGAGTAGTCACGTGGCTGGTTGGTAATGTACCAGTTCCACCAGTCTTGCGTCAGACATCTCGGAGAGGTCAGCCAGGTGATTGTCACTTGGATAAGCTGATGACAAGAGGAGGTCCAAAGCAGAGGTGAACCTTTAGCATTGCCATCCTTCAGGATGACTTCCTCTCCTTTGAATGCAGCTCTCTGAGCTTGAGTCAAACATGTTGTCCCTGTTCCAGCCTGAAACTGGCACAAAAGCTCCTACGACTGGGTGGGAGCCAATCACCTGACTGCTGACTTCGTTGACTATTTCTTCCTCTACCTCCTAGTCCGTTTTGTTAACACCAGCAATCACTTGTTGCCCACCCACGTTGTAGACTGGGAGAGCACGCTCAGGAGTCAGCCCCTTCTTTGAGATACGACTTACGATCTACCAACATGCACAGCACAGTCAATGGAGATGGGCCTGTAATCATGGTCTTGATGAAGTCCCAGCAGGTTGGGGCAGTGATGGGAGTCTTCTCCTTGCCAGTTTTGTCTAGGTTTAGTGATGTTTTTCACCCTCTCGTGTTCTGGCCATAAACCCATTATTAAATGTCAAGCAGAAGTCGCTAAACTGCATGCCCTTTGACCTATCAGTACCATTACTGGGCCCACGTCTACCAAAATGAAATCAAAGAAAGAGAAAAAAGGCCTACATGTACTAAATATACATGTCTTTACATCCACGTCCTTAGACTGCGCGTATGGATGGAGATAGGGAAAGCAGGTCTTCTTTGCCATAGCAAAGAACTAGGAACTAAGGGAATGCCCATCATCTGGGAAATGGCTGAAGAAAACGTGGCATAGAAATGTAATAGAATTTTGTTGCGTTGTAAGGAATGACGAGAAGGACGGCTCACAGAGAAGACTGGTACAGAGTCTTGCCAGCTGAAGTGAGCAAAACCAGGAGAACGTTTTATCCAGTAGTAGCCACCTTGTGAAGTCATACTACTGTAGAGAGACCCAGTGCAGTGACTGACTGAATGCAGAGATTCGATGATAAAGCATGAGGCTTACCACCTGGTGGAGGCGATGGCCCCATGATCCGCAGCAGCACAGACAACTTTGGACCCAGCCATTGTGGGGATTTTTGCTTTTGACCCTTTCTTCTTTTTCATAAAATTTATTTTTTCAATCAGCAAAAATCTGTCCCCTTCCCCCCCATTAAGAACAAAAGAAAAACAAAACCTTTGTTATAAATGTGTTAAGTCAAGCAAAGCAAATTTCCACATTGGCCACATTTTTAAAAAAAAAAAAGTGTGTGTGTCATTCTACACTCTGATAGCCTGGACCTCTCTGTTAGGATGTGGGTGGCCTGTTTTGTTATTAACCCTCTGAGAGGAATTGTGTTTGAACATTATAGTGACTGGAGTTCCTGAGTCTTTCGAAGTTATATTTACCATGCTGCTATTGCATAAATTGTTCTCCTGGTTCTGGTTCTTCATTCTGCAACTTCATTTCTTTACAGCACAGTAGTATTCCACCGCAGTTTTATACCATGGTCTGTTCAAAAATTCTACAGTTGATGGACATCCCCTCAGACTCCCAACCTTTGCCACATCATAAAGAACTGCCATAAATATTTTTTGTACATCTTTAAAGCTTATTTTGCTCAGGACTAACCACTTCCTTAATCTAGCTTCCTTTTAATTCCCCCTTCTTCCGTTTCCTCTTCCCATCTGTTTACCTTTTGAATAAAATGTATTTCTGTCCTTGATTGTGTGTCGGAAGGCAGCGTCCTTCCCTTGGACTAATTCAGATGAGAGGAAGGTTTGGGTATCGGCTGCTCCCTCCACCCCCTTCTCTTTGACTTGTGTGCCCCAATTATGTAAGATCCTCTTCCCCAGCCTTCCTTTCCCTTTCCTCCATGGTGTATTCCATTCTCCTTTTAAAATCACCAAGACACCACAGAGCTGCTGTCAGGGCTTCGAGCTAATTAGGTGACCTCTGGTGATGTT